TCGTGATCCACCCACCTCAGCCTCCTAAAGTGCTGGGATTACAGGCTTGAGGCACCGCGCCCGGCCCGTATTTTGAAGTTTCTTACCACAGACAACCTTATCTCAGTAACAACACAGTTCTATGGGCACTGGAGGGTTACAGACTTCAGAAACCTTGGTTGTAACTTTGGTTGAAATTGATCACTTCAATCTAGAGCAATCAGGCAAGAAAAATAAATAAAGGGCATTCAAATAGGAAAGGAGAAAGCCAAATTATCTCTATTTGCAGATGACATGATTGTATATTTAGAAGACCCCATTGTCTCAGCCCAGAATCTCCTGAAACTAATAAGCAACTTCAGCGAAGTCTCAGGATACAAAATCGATATGCAAAAATCACAAGCATTTTTATACAGCAATAACAGACTTAAAGAGAGCCGAATCAAGAATGAACTGCCATTCACAGTTGCTACAAAGAGAATAAAATACCTGGGAATACAACTAACAAGGAACATAAAGGACATCTTCAAGGAGAACTACAAAGCACTGCTCAATGAAATAAGAGAGGACACAAACAGACGGAGAAACATTCCACGTTCATGGTCAGGAAGAATCAATATCATGAAAATGGCCAAACTGCCCAAAGTAATTTATAGATTCAACACTATTTCCATCAAGCTACCAATGACCTTCTTCACAGAACTGGAAAAAGCCACCTTAAACTTCATATTGAACCAAAAGAGAGCCTGCATAGCCAAATCAATTATAAGCAAAAAGAACAAAGTGGGAGGCATCACATTCCCTGACTTCAAACTATACTACAAGGCTACAGTAATCAAAACAGCACAGTACTGGTACCAAAACAGAGAAATAGATATAGACCAATGGAACAGAACAGAGGCATCGGAGGCAACACAACATATCTACAACCATCCGATCTTTGGCAAACCTGACAAAAGCAAGCAATGGGGAATGTATTCCCTGTTTAATAAATGGCATTGCGAAAACTGGCTAGCCATGAGCAGAAAGCAGAAACTGGACCCCTTCTGGTCACCTTACATTAAAATTAACTCCACATGGATTAAAGACTTAAACGTAAGACCTAACACCATAGAAACCCTAGAAGAAAATTTAGGCAAAACCATTCAGAACATAGGCGTAGGCAAGGACTTTATGACCAAAACACAAAAAGCATTGGCAACAAAAACCAAAATAGACAAATGGGACCTAATCAAACTCCACACCTTCTGCATGGGAAAAGAAACAGTCATTAGAGTGAATCAGCAACCAACAGAATGGGAAAACATTTCTGCAGTTTACCCAACTGATAAAAGGCTGATATCCAGAATTTACAAAGAACTAAAACAGATTTACAAAAACAAACAAAAAAAACAAGCCCATTCAAAAGTGGGTGAAGGTTATGAACAGACACTTTGCAAAAGAAGACAAACATGAGGCCAACAAGCATATGAAAAAATGCTCATCATCACTGGTCATTAGAGAAATGCAAATCAAAACTACATTGAGATACCATCTCACACCAGTTAGAATGGTAATCATTAAAAAATCTGGAGACAACAGATGCTGGAGAGGATGTGGAGAAATAGAAACACTTTTATACTGTTGGTGGGAGTGTAAGTCAGTTCAACCATTGTGGAAGACAGTGTGGTAATTCCTCAAGGACCTAGAAGTAGAAATTCCATTTGACCCAGCAATCCCATTACTGGGTATATATCCAAAGGACTATAAATCGTTCTACTATAAGGACACATGCACAGGAATGTTCATTGCAGCACAGTTTACAATAGCAAAGACCTGGAACCAACCCAAATGCCCATCAATAATAGACTGGACAGGAAAAATGTGGCATATATACATTATGGAATATTATGCAGTCATCAAAAATGATGAGCTTGTGTCCTTTGTAGAGATATGGATGAACCTGGAAACCATCATTCTCAGCAAACTGACACAAGAGCAGAAAATTAAACACCACATGTTCTCACTCATAGGTGGATGTTGAACAATAAGAACACATGGACACAGGGAGGGGAGCACTACACACTGGGGTCTGTTGGGGGGAAATAGGGGAGGGACAGTCAGGGGGTGGAAAGTTGGGGAGAGATAGCATGGGGAGAAATGCCATATATAGGTGAAGGAGAGGAAGGCAGCAAATCACACTGCCATGTGTGTACCTATGCAACAATCTTGCATGTTCTTCACATGTACCCCAAAACCTAAAATGCAATTAAAAAAAAAAAAAAGAGGCCGTGCGCAGTGGCTCACGCCTGTAATCCCAGCACTTTGGGAGGCCAAGTTGGGTGGATCACAAGGTCAAGAGATTGAGGCTATCCTGGTCAACATGGTGAAACCCCATCTCTACTAAAAATACAAAAAAAAACATTGGCTGGGCAAGGTGGCGTGTGCCTGTAATCCCAGCTACTCAGGAGGCTGAGGCAGGAGAATTGCCTGTACCCAGGAGGTGGAGTTGCAGTGAGCCGAGATCGCGCCATTGCACTCCAGGCTGGGTAACAAGAGCGAAACTCTGTCTCAAAAAAAGAAAGAAAGAAAGAAAGAAATTGACCACTTCAGTCAGCCACAGGGTTCACTGTCTTCTCCCCATAATTTTCTTCTTTTCTTTGTTTTCCTTTCATACGCTTTTTTTTTGCACACAAGGTCACACTATGTTGCCCAGGTTGGTCTCAAAGGCCTGGGCTCAAGCGATCATTACAGGTAGGAAACACTGTTCCCAGCCATCTCCTCCCCATAATCCTGAAGATCAGAATATTTGCTGTAACACAGGCAACAGAAGCAGCAAAGACATTCCTAGGGTTTTAATTAGCCATCTGCTCTTATGAGCATGGGTCTCAAATGCTATTATTTGTTTGTCTCCACAAACTTCATGTGTTATAAACAATCACCCATGCAGCAGTGCTGAGAAGTGGAACCTAATGGGAGGTCTTTAGGTGGCAAGGACTCCCCCAGTAATTGGATTCATGCCAGGCTAAAAGAGAGCTTTTGAGAGTATATGTCCCCACTCTGCTTTCTATTTCTTTTCTTTGAGACAGATTCTTTCTTGTCACCCAGGCGGGAGTGCAATGACACAATCTTGACTCACTGCCATTTCTGCTTCTGGGGCTCAAGTGATTCTTTCACTTCAGTCTCCGAAGCAACTGGGACTCCAGCCACATGCCACCAAGTTGGTCTTGAGCTACTGGCCTCAAGTGTATTGCCTGCCTAGGCCTCCCAAAGTGTGGGCATTACAGGCATGAGCCAATGCACTAAGCTCTGTGCCTCTGCTCTTCAGCCATGTGAGAAACTCTGTTTTTCTCTCCAGAGGCTGCAGCATTGAAGGCACCAACTTGGAAGCAGGGATCAGGCACTTGCCAGACACCAAACCTGTCACTGCCTTTACCTTGAACTTCCAAACTGTGAGAAATTGATTTCTCATCTTTATAAGTTACCAAATCTCAGATATTCTCTCAAATCACAACAAAATGGATTAACATATAAGTGATTGTAAGTTTCAAGTAATGCTAAATCTCCACATAGTGACTGTTCCTGCTTCACACAAGTGATCACCCAATGAGCTCATGTTTGGTGAAGGGTACCATCTTTCCCCTAAGTGCTCTATAGAACAGGCACCTATTTGGAGTTGAGACACACAACCAATTGGTCAGATTGGAGTCCTCCCCCTGAACTTACATCAGTCAGACCTTTTCTTAGCATCTAGAAACACGCCATGGAAAGTTTAGAAAAGCCAGTGATTCTCATAGTTAAGATAAGGGATACCTCTTTTACCTTTACTTGATGTCAGCAACCTCACCAGGGTAATAGAAGACCCTTCATTTAAACTTAGAGGGATCCCTGGTCAGCTAATGATAGAAAAAGGATTAAGTCTGTGAAGGTTTTTCAATTGATACATTTCAACAAACCGAGGTTCAGTCGTCATCCAGGTTACAGGGGCAGAAAGTCAACGAGCACCTTTTATCTTTTGTGTTGTGTAGATTCTTTTGGTAAATTTTGCATTTTTAACTGGAAATTGCAAATTAGGTACTTCTGTTAGAGGCTTTTGTTTGTTTTTTGTCCTCTCCTCGTATCTGTGATTTGGTTTTATTTTTCATTCTCTTAATTCTCCTTTATCTGACCTTCATGAAAACTTTTATTTTTTTATTTTTGTAGACATTCAATACACTTCACAGGTTGTTTCTTTTGACTATGCTTTAACAAGACATAGTAGTCATTTAATATAATTATTGTCTATGATAATACTAATTTTAACAGCTTGTGAAGAAGGTTCAATTGAGAAATATGGCATGCTTTCCCCTTAAGGTGTCAGTGTAATTATACTCACAGGATTTGCTTTTCAAATTATAAAAGACATAGCAATATGTCTGGACTGAAATGCGTGACTCAGGGAGACATTAAAAGGCATGAGTGTATATTCCTGTTCTTAAATACCAAAATATTTCTAAATTACTGACTTTGGTCAGAAAAATCTCTGTAAGAGCCTCAGCTGAACTCAGTAAAAGCAGCACAAAGCAGCAGAGCTGAAAGTGCAGGATTGTCATGGGGGGCAGAGCCAGTGAGCAAAGCAGAGCAAGAACAGCAGTTCCCTAACAGTGGCAGCCAACATCTGGATAATCCTGCTCAAATGGACTTCGTAGGGGTCAGTTTTTAGATAGGGTGGACCCCCCCTGACAATTTGGTTCAGTGTTCAGACTGCTAACACCACATACTCCAAGATTGTGTGAGATGGATTCTTCATCATGAAATAAGGTTTATGGAGGAAGCAGGTTGTCTACACAGTTGGTACAAAAGTGACTTGAGAGAGCAGGGAAAGGAGACTAGTTTGGGGCTGTGATGGTTGTCATGGGTGGGGCTGCTGAAAGGGTCTTGCACTACCCGGGGCTGAACCTCCCACCTGCACCTACAGAGGATGCACCCAGGCTTTCTCATCAGTCTCTCCAAGTGCGCAGAAAGGACGAGAAGAGTGTGTCCCCCCAAAATATTGAGTCAAACATAAACATGGAATAACAGACTTTATTACAAATGTCCTCCAACAACACAAAAAGAAAAGATAGCCACATGCAAAGGGCTCTCTAAGGAGCCCATCACTGGTCTATGACAATATTGATTGTGACAGCTTGGGAAGAAGGGTCAACAGAGAAATAAGGCACAAGCTTTTCTGTAAACTTATCAGTGAAAGTGTACACATGTGATCTGGTTTTTAAATTATAAAATGAAACCTCTCCCAACTCATAGTCCAGAAAAATGCCCATTTGCTGGACTTCTGTATTCCTTGTACTGCATGAACTACAGAATGGCTGAATTTCCCAGCACCCCATCTGTGGGGTTGGCGATCTCAGGCCATCTCTGGGAAATGTTTCTTTACAAACACCAAGGGACCACGCACCTGTGCCTCTCACTTCTACGTGCCAAAAATGTCTCCCAGCATCAAAGCCCTCACGGCTCCGGACTGCTGGGTAAAAGCAAAACGACTGAGGATTATCAGTAAAGCCTGGATTCATCCTACAAAATATCACGCTTTTTCTGTCTCCTGAGATAATAAGACTAGGGTGGGCTGTTTCCGGGTCTAGCGTCAAATCTTCCTGAAATGTGCTCATCATTCTGTGGAGGCCAAAATAATGTGGAGGGAGCCCCAAACTCTTCTTCCTGAATTCATGTGAGAAGACGGCAGGGGCTTTCAGGTTTTCATATGTGTTGTAGATGTTCTCAGTACCTGTCAGCACATCCAGGTCTCCCTGAAATCCCTTCTCTGTTACTGCATTTAGCAGGTTTTGGAGTACAAGTAAATGCTCTGAAATTTGTCTTTGGTTTTCAGCGAGTTTTTCTTCAGCGTCGTGCTCTTCAACAAGTAAAGAGGCACAAATTGCAGCTTGTTCCTTTACCAAGGATATCTTAATTTCTTCAAATTCAGACTGTAATTCCTTCCTCCATGTTTCCATCTTCCTTTTCTCATTGACAGATTTCAACATTGTCGCTTCACGTCGCATCTTGGCATCTTCAATTTTCTCCTTTAGTGGCTGAATGTAGCTTTTGAGCTTTCTCCTGTTTCTGGCTGCAGCTTGCTCAATGGGCAGCAGGGGGTGATGCTGGTGGTCAGAGGAGACCCTGCACTGGGGACACAACAGCTCCAGGTCCTTCTCACAGAACAGGGCCAGACGCAGACAGTGCTTCCCACACAGGGGCTCCTCCTCCTCCTGCACTTTCCTCTTCCTCCTCATGGCGGGAAGCTGCTGAACCACATCAGTCATGTGGCGAAATTGGGTGTTGCTCCTGAGGTTCTCTTCAGGGCAGTGGTGGAGGCAGACGGGACAGGGGAAGATGTCCTGTAGGTCTTCCCAGCACTGGTGGATGCAGGAGCGACAGAAGTTGTGCCCACAGTGAGTGGTGACTGGGTCCTTCAGGTAACCCAGGCAGATGGGGCAGCTGGCCTCTGCTTGGAGCTCAGCCAGGGATGCTGTGACGGCCATGGTGCAGGGAGGGATCTGCGTGGGGAGACTCCCTTCAGAAGGTGTGATCCTCCGGGAAGGAGGGAAGGTGAGAAGCCGGTGCCTCCTCTGTGTTCTCTCTCCTGCAAGCACTTCACAGGCCTGTGTCTGTTTTTTTGCCTTTGGCTCTAGAAGCAGCTCCAGTGGGAGGGCGGGCCCAGGGCACCGGCTGATCCCTTGGCACCAGATCCTCCTTTACTGAAATTCAAGCTGGGCTCTTTCGTGGTCTTTCTCAGAAAAAGCCACAGTTACAAGAGGCAATGGAAAATAATGACCGCGTGAAATACTCCAGAGTGTGACTTTCAACACAACAAGAAGGCAGTTGTCATCAACTACAAAAGGGAAAAAAGAATAAGATCTATTAAATCAATAAAGAACATTTATATCAATGCAGATATCTACCTAATAATTTTCTTTATTTCTACATAAACCCTTCTAACAATAAAGTCCATTGGGATAGAGTAAGTTTCCACTAGCTGTGATTTCTAAGTATTCACTAAGTATTACTAAGTTATCACTAAGTAAGATAAGTATTCACTAGCTGTTATTTCTAATGATATTACGAGCTGAATATTTGAGAGACTGTATTTCAGTCATTCATAGTGCAGCATTTACCCATAAGAGTATACGTGATCCTGGGTTTGCCACACAATATTGCAAAGTATAGGAATTGGGATATCAATTTTAAGTGGTTACAGTGTTTGTTGTAGTGATTTTGCTGCTACATTACATGCTTTAGATGTTCTCCAGGAAAAAACATTATTGAAAAGGCTGACAGCCCTGACAACATGGTGACACTGCATTCTTTTTTTTTTTTTGAGACTAAGTTTCGCTCTTGTTACTCAGACTGGAGTGCAATGGCACGATCTCGGCTCACTGGAAGCTCCGCCTCCTGCCTCAGCCTCCGGAGTAGCTGGGACTACAGGTGTGGGCCACCATGCCCAGCTAATTTTTGTATTTTTAGTAGAGACGGGATTTCACCATGTTGACCAGAATGGTCTCGATCTCTTGACCTTGTGATCCGCCCGCCTCAGCCTCCCAAAGTGCTGGGATTATAGGCGTGAGCCATCACGCCCGGATGCTGGTGACACTACATTCTATCAAAAAACTACAAAAATGAGCCAGGCTTAGTGGCACACACCTGTAGTTCAAGCCACGAGGAAGGTTAGGTAGGAGGATCAATTGAGCCTGTGCGGAGAGGCTGCAGTGAGCAGTCATTGTGTCACTGGAATCTAGCCTAGGGAACACAGCATGATCCTTTCTCAAATAAAATAAAATAAAATAAAAGCTGAGCCTTATTGTCTCTGTGTCACTGTCTCCAAGCCAGACCAGCTCCTCTCTTACTCTCTTTTATGAGCCTCACCTTTCACTTTTGCTACATCTCAGAGTTCTAAAGTCTCTTGTGGGCCGGGCATGGTGGCTCACACTGGTAGTCAGCATTTTGCAGGCCGAGGTGGGCATATGCATATCAACTGAGGTCTGAAGTTTGAGACCAGCCTGGTCAACATATAGATGAGGTTTCATCCCATCTATACTACAAATACAAAAAATAGCTGGATGTGATGGTGGGTACCTATAATCCCAGCTACTTAGAAGTCTGAGGCAGGTGGATCACTTGAACCCAGGAAGCGGAGGTTGCAGTGAGCCGAGACAGTGCCATTCTACTCTGGCCTGGGCAACAACAGTAAAACTCTGTCTCAAAAGTAAAAATAAAAATAAATATCCCTGCATCTTCCTCTCTTCTTCACACTTCACGCAAATCTCTCCACTTTCTCTTTCTATTCCACCTTGTCTGGCTTCCAGGTCTGACTCCTCTATGGCCACACAAATCTCCCAAGTTCAGACAAACCAAATTAATGGCAAAAGCAAGGCCAGGCATTACGGTTTCGAGCTCTCATATTTTGGGGTCACTGACCGCAAGCATAGCTGCCCCTTCTCCCTTGTTTCCATCTGCTCCATCCTCCTCTGACCTTGCCTACATTATCCACTCCACTGGCCAGGGGTTTGCAAAGGGAATTTCGTAAGCGATTCCTCAAAGTAGCCTCCTACTTCACCCTGGTTTTCCCATTTTTGTGCTCATGGACTGTGAGCAGAAGCACTCACAGGGCCGCTCCATTTGCAGCCTGAGACTCCGAAGTCTCCCCCAACCTCTAAATCCACCCAAGGCGCCTGCTCCTTCCCTCAGTCCCTGCTCACCTGCTTTTGTGTTCCGAGGGGTGCTCTCCTTACGCCAAATCTCCACTTGGGTCCAGGCTCTGTGAGTATTCTGGAGGTGCGCTTAAATTTCCAGATGTGAAGAGTGGTTCCCTCAGCAGCATTGCCGAGGTGGTAAGAATGGCTTCTCCTGCTTTGGCAGGTCAATGGCGTCCTTCTTGGTTCGAGTAAGAACGGGCAACACAGCACAGCCTCTCTGTTCACCTGAGAGTTCTGAATCTGGCCCCTTCAGGGCTTAGAAGCCTGTGGAGAGTTTCCTTTCTGTTTCCCTATTGGACAGACTGCAGATGCAATTAGCATCTGGCCAATAACAGGCTCTGATTAGTATTTTACATCTTCTCAGATTTTATTTTCAGGCTAGGAGGTGGGGTGAGTGGGGCGAACAGGAGATTAAAGGTGGATGATTGGATTTCTCTCACTACTTTACTCAAACTCCTGTGTGTGTGTGTGTGTGTGTGACAGAGTTTCGCTCTTATTACCCAGGCTGCAGTGCAATGGCGTGATCTCGGCTCACCACAACCTCCACCTCCTGGGTTCAAGCAATTCTCCTGCCTCAGCCTCTTGAGTAGCTGGGACTACAGGCGTGCACCACCATGCCCAGCTAAGTTTTGTATTTTCAGTAGAGACGGGGTTTCACCAAGTTGACCAGGATGGTCTCGATTTCTTGATCTTGTGATCCACCCACCTCGGCCTCCCAAAGCTCTGGGATTATAGGCGTGAGCTACCACGCCCGGCCCAAAAAAACTTCTAAAGTAGGGAAAAGCTTGTCTTGCAGAGACTTTAAGTATGGCTTTTGTTTAATGCCAATAGATTTTATATTTAATCCCAGTAGATTTTATGTAGCAGCTCAGCAATACTGGAAACCCTACATCCTTGAATACTGGTTTCATGTATAACATGAGCAATAACAACATGTAACTAAGAATGCAAGTAAACTGTTTCCTAAACACACAAATATTTGTTAATATTATTAGGTGGGTGAAAAGGTAATCACAGGTTCTTTAATGACAAGAACCGTGATTACTTTTGCACCAAACTAATACTATAAAATTTTGTTACATGACCGTTAGGCAGACACTTTAAAATATATAAATTACTCATGAATAAAATTAAATCATTCATAATTCCCTCATCCAGAGTTACTTTTGTGTCTATACATGTGTGGTTAGCATAAATTACATATAGCTGTTTTCTTTAAAAAAAAAACACACATAAATGGGTACTTTTATATCTTAGGGTCTTTTTCCCCCAAATGTTAATGTCTCTTTCTTATACTAATGCACACTGGTTTAAAAAAAAAAAATATATATATATATATATATATGATTTCTCTCTCTATATAATAATTTATATATAGATATTTATAGTTTCTCAATATATATATATGGAGAGAGAGAGAGAGAGATGGAGTTATTCTCTTGTTGCACAGATTAAAGTGCAATGGGGCAGTCTCGGCTCACCACTCCCACTACCTCTCGAAGTCAAGTGATTCTCCTGCCTCAGCCTCCTGAGCAGCTGGGAATACAGGCAAGTGCCACCACACTCAGCTACGTTTTATAATTTTAGTAGAGACAGGGTTTCACCATGTTGATCAGACTGGTCTTGAACTCCTGACCTCATGATCTGCCCACCTCAGCCTCCCAAAGTGCTAGGATTACAGGCGTGAGCCACCGCACCCTGCAGATATGTTTTCAAATTGAGAACTGTGTTGAAGTAGAAAGTGAAACCATCCCGCCTCCACCCTCCAGGACATCCACAGTCACTAACTTGATCTATGCATTTTCACCATATCATACTGCACACAGCACACACTACGTATATTTACATGTACATATAGATACAAATGCAATTGGAGTACAAATAATTCACATTTCAGTCAAATGCCAACTGGCTGAATGTTATAGGTAACATTTGGCTGACGCTGAAGACAAAGCCAAATATTAACATAATAGAAGGAATTCCTGTGATGCAAGAATAAATCATAAATTTTAACCAAAAAAATTATTTAAAAAATTTGATTTTGAACAAATAAATAAAAATAAAATCATCAGATTTTGCAAGGATGACGTGCTACTGCAGAAACAAGACTTTCTCGGCACCATCATCTGCTAGACTCCTCCTGTGGTCACTCTATTACCTACAACATATTAAAGTAGGTGCTCGCTCTCACCCGAGATAGGTAGAGAAGCAGGACTTTCTGTGTTTCATTGCCTTGGGTTCAGCCAGGGTTTAAACAGAAAAGCACATTCAAATATGGTGATTTCAGTATCATTTAATAAAGGGATTATTTGCAAAACTAGGCAGACTTTAGGGTCACCCAACGTGGAGCTAAGATTCCCTTGAGACCCGGTTCCTATAAGGGGCCTTTTCCAGCCCCAACTCCAATGGCATTACTACTGATTAAAAGCACAACCATTGGGCCAGGAGCAGTGGCTTATGCCTGTTATCCCAGCACTTTGGGAGGTCGAGGTGGGTGGACCACCTGAGGTCAGGAATTTAAGACCAGCCTAGCCAACATGGTAAAACCCCTTCTCTACTAAAAATACAAAAATTAGCCAGCCACCATAGCCAGTCACCTGTGATCCCAGCTACTCGGGAGTCTGAGGATAGAGAATCACTTGAACCTGGGAGGCAGAGGTTGAAGTGAGCTGAGATTGCACCTTTGCACTCCACCCTTAGGGACAAGAGTGAAACTCCATCTCAAAAAAAAAAATTAAATACATAGATGGAGATGGGGCATTCTGGGAGAATGGGGGAAAATAATGTGGCTCTGAACCTCAGACATGTTGCTTAACAATTCACAGTCCAGACCAGTGACTCATGCCTGTAATCTCAACACTTTGACCATATAATAAAGAAAATAAAAATTTTAAATTTTAGAAAAAGAACAATTCACAGGCTGTTTTCCTGTTTGCATACTGGGGACAATAATTGCCATTTCAAGAGGTGATTATAACTTGATAAGTGTTTGCATAAAGCACATATCTTAGTGTCCATAATGTGGAAAAGTAAGAGCAGCTGGCAGTAGCAGGCCAAGCATCTAACAAATCAGTCCACATCACATACTATAAAATAAGAACCTTATTCCTGCTTTGTAGATAATAAACCCAACATTGCATATATAGCAAAAGGAACAACTGAGACTCAAACCCAGTCAGGCTCTAAAAAATATTTCCAATCACTTTTTTGTACTCAATTATTTGTGACCACTATTATCTCAGAGAATAAGGAGGTAACAGTTTTCAGAATCCAATTCCAGAAAGATAATACATAGTTGATTATTTGAAATTGGGTCCTAAAAATTTTATCCAGAATTTTTAATATTTATTTATTTTCTTTTTTGAGACTGGGTCTTGCTTTGCAGCCCATGTTGTAGTGCAGTGGTGCCATCTGGGCTCACTGCAACCTCCACAGGAGGATCACGAGGTCAAAAGATTGAGAACATTCTGGAAAACATGGTGAAATACCATCTCTACTAGAAATAAAAATATTAGCTGGACATGGCGGCACATGCCTGTAGTCCCAGCTACTCGGAGGCTGATAAAGGAGAATCGCTTGAACCCAGGAGGTGGAGGTTGCAGTGAGCGAAGATCATGCCATTGCATTCCAGCCTTGCAACAGAACAAGACTCCATCTCAATAAATAAATAAATAAGAATAAATATTTCTACCAGCAGTCTGTCTTCAATGTCTGAGCCTGTGGATGCTGAAAACTCTGGAATGAGTTTGGGAATCCAGAAAACAAAGGCAAGGACTGACTCTGGAAGCACAACCTTCAAGGGACAAAAAAATTAAAAGTGCCTGAGAAGGAAAAGGTCAACGCTAGCCAATGAGTATTTCCAATATTTAATTAACCCAGGACCTAACCACTGATTAAGTTAGAGGAGTTTCAATGGACTAGTGAGAGACGGATAAATCCAATCTTCCACTTTTAATGTCCTCATGTTCTCCCCACCCCGCCACCTCCAAGGCTTAAAATGCAATCAGAGAAGAAGGTGGAAAATGTTCATTGGAGCCTGTCCTTGGCCAAAGGCTAATTTCATCTGCATTCTGTCCAATAGGGAAACAGAAAGGAAACTCTCCACAGGCTTATAAGCTCTGAAGGCGCCAGATTCAGAACTCTCAGATGAACAGAGAGGCTGTGCTGTGTTGCCTGTTCTGACCTGGACCAAGAAGGACACGACTGACCTGGGAAGGCAGGAGAAGCCATTCTTATTTGGCAGTGGTTCTGAAGGAACCACCCCTCACGTCTAAAAATTTAAAGGCAGCTCTGGAGTATTCACAGAGCCTGGACCCAAGTGGAGATTTGGCATCAGGAGAGCAGCCCTCGAACAACAAGTGCAGGTGAGCAAGGACTCAGGGAGGGAGCAGACACCTTGGGTGGGGTTAGGGTTGGGGAGAGACATCAGAGGCTCAGGTTGCAAATGGAGTGATCCTGGGAGGACCTCCGCTCACAGTTCATGAGGATTAAAACGGGAGAACTCCCCTAACTGGGTTGGACTAGGACACTGCATTGAGGAAGTGCTTAGAAAATTCACTTTGCAGACACCTGGCCAGTGGAGCAGGTAAGGTCAGAGGAGAATACAATAGTTGGCAGTGAGGGGGAAGGGCCAGTTGTGCTTCTGATCAGTGACCCCAAAATATGAGAACACGAAATCATAATGCCTGGCCTTGCTTTTGCCACTAATATATTTCAACTGAACTTGAGAGATTTTTGCGGCCCTAGAGGAGTCAGACCTGAAAGTCAGATGAAATGGGATTAGAAAAAGACTGTGGAGAGACTTGTGTGAAGTATGAAGGGAGAGGAAGACACAAGGGATTTTATTTATTTATTTATTTGTTCATTTTTTTTTTCTTTTATTTATTTTTTTTATTTTTATTTTTTATTGCATTTTAGGTTTTGGGGTACATGTGCAAAGCATGCAATACAGTTGCATAGGTACACACATGGCAGTGTGTTTTGTTTGCTTTCTCCCCTTCACCCACATTTGGTCTTTCTCCCCAGGCTATCCCTCCCCACCTCCCCCTCCCACTGGCCCTCCACTTTTCCCCCCAATAGACCCCAGTGTTTAGTAGTCCCCTCTCTGTGTCCATGTGTTCTCATTTTTCATCACCCGCCTATGAGTAAGAATATGTGGTGTTTCATTTTCTGTTCTTGTGTCAGTTTGCTGAGAATGATGTTCTCCAGATTCATCCATGTCCCTACAAATGACACGAACTCATCGTTTCTGATTGCTGCATAATATTCCATGGTGTATATGTGCCACATTTTCCCAATCCAGTCTATCATCGATGGGCATTTGGGTTGATTCCAGGTCTTTGCTATTGTAAACAGTGCTGCAATGAACATTTGTGTGCATGTGTCCTCATAGTAGAACGATTCATAGTCCTTTGGATATATACCCAGTAATGGGATTGCTGGGTCAAATGGAATTTCTATTTCTAAGGCCTTGAGGAATCGCCACACTGTCTTCCACAATGGTTGGACTAATGTACACTCCCACCAACAGTGTAAAAGTGTTCCTTTTTCTCCACATCCTCTCCAGCATCTGTTGTCTCCAGATTTTTTAATGATTGCCATTCTAACTGGCGTGAGATGGTATCTCAATGTGGTTTTGATTTGCATCTCTCTGATGACCAGTGACGATGAGCATTTTTTCATATGATTGTTGGCCTCATATATGTCTTCTTTCGTAAAGTGTCTGTTCATATCCTTTGCCCAATTTTGAATGGGCTTGTTTGTTTTTTTCCTGTAAATCTATTTGAGTTTGTAAATTCTGGATATCAGCCCTTTGTCAGATGGGTAAAGGGCAAAAATTTTTTCCCATTCAGTTGGTTGCCAATTCACACTAGAGACTGTTTCTTTTGCTGTGCAGAAGCTGTGGAGTTTAATTAGGTCCCATTTGTCTATTTTGGCTTTTGTTGCCAATGCTTTTGGTGTTTTGTTCATGAAGTCCTTGCCTACTCCTATGTCCTGGATGGTTTTGCCTAGATTTCCTTCTAGGTGTTTTTTATTTTTTTGAGACACAGCCCTACTCTGCTGCTTTGCTGAGTAGAGTGGCACAATCTCAGCTCACTTCAACCTTCCTCTCTCAAGGTTAAGTGATTCTCCTGCCCCAGTCTCCCAAATATCTGGGACTATAAGTACCCACTACAACACCCAGCTAACTTTGTATATTTAATAGTCACTGTGTTTCACCATGTTGACCAAGGTGGTCTTGATCTCTTGACCTTGTGATCTGCCTGCATCTGCCTCCAAAAATGTTGGAATTACAGGAGTGAGCCACTGCACCCGACCACAATTTGTTTTTGTTTATTTATTTATTTTTTTATTGAGATAGGGTTTCATTCTTGTTGCCCGGGCTGGAACGCAATAGCACTCTCTCAGCTCATTGCAACCACCGCTTTCTAAATTTAAGTGATCCTCCTGCCTCAGACTTCCAAGTAGCTGTGATTACAGGTAACTGCCACCACTCCCAGTGAAGTTTTTTTTTTGTTTTGAGAAAAAGAAGGGGAAAAAAAGAAAAAGGGGGAAAAAGGAATATTACTTCATTCCTAAAATGGGTTTCAATAATGGCCGATCAATATTTTGAGTGTTTAAAGTGGTTAATGCATATTTTATGTGTTTAAAATGGAGACCTCTATTGTGTTTATTTGTTCTGGCTCTGAGTTCAAATCCTGAATATCGTTATCAATTTGTTGTCTCGTTGAATCTAAATCTATGTGTCTTATGTATCTGGGTGTTAAGATCTCTTATTGTTACATTAATCCTTTTACCCTTGTATCCTTATAGCTTTGAAATCTATTTTGTCAAATGTGAAAATTGCAACTCCTGCTTTTTATTTATTTATTTTTGCTCTCCATTTGGTTGGTACGTTTTTTTTTTTTTCCAACCCTTTATTTTGAGTCTATGTATATCTTTGGATATACCGTTGGATTTTGTCTGTATCTTTTGATTGGGAGATTTGGTTGATTTAACTTTAGGGTTGCTGCCATTTGATATTAACTGGCTATTTTGTCCTTTTGTTGATAAAAATTCTTCTTTATGTTAACGCTCTTTACTTTTTGGTGTATTTTTAGAAAGGATCATACTGGTTGTTCCTTTCTGTGTATAATGCTTCTTTTAGAAGTTCTTGTAAAGCAGGCCTGGTGGTAATAAAATCTCTGAATACTTGCTTGTTCCTAAAAGATTCTATTTTTCCTTCAAATGTAAAGCTTAAATTGGCAGGATATGAAATTCTGGGCTGAAAGTTTTGTTCTTTAAGTATATTGAATATTGGCCCCCACTCTCTTCTAGCTTGTAGGGTTTCCATTGAGAGATCTGCTGTAAGCCTAATAGGCTTACCTTTATGGATGACTTGATCTTTCTCTCTGGCTGCCCTTAATATTTTCTCCTTCATTTCGATCTTGGTGAATCTAACGATTATGTGCCTTGGAGTTGGTCTTCTTGAGGAATATCTTTGTGGTGTTCTCTGTATTGCCTGGGGTTGAATAGTGTCCTGCTTTGCTAAATTAGGAAAATTTTCCTGGATAATGTCCTGGAGAGTATTTTCCAGCTTGACTTCATTCTCTCCGTCACATTCAGGTACACCAATCAAGCGTATATTAGGTCTTTTCACATAGTCCCATATTTCTTGGAGACTTTGCTCATTCCTTTTTATCCTTTTTTCTCTATTCTTGTCTTGTCGTTTTGTTTCAATAAGTTGGTCTTCGACCTCTAATACCCTTTCTTCTGCTTGATCCATTCGGCTGTTTAAGCTTGTACATATTTCACTCAGTTCTCGTGTTGTATTTTTCAACTCCATAAGTTCATTTGTATTCCTCTCTATATTGTCTATTCTTTTCAACATTTCATCGAACCTTTTTTCCAAGTTCTTAGTTTCTTTACATTGGGTTAGAACAAGTTCCTTTAACTCCCAGAAGTTTCTTATCACCCACCTTTTAAAGCCTACTTCAGATAATGGAACACAGTCCTTTTCCATCAGGGCTTGTTCCGTTACTGATGAGTCCTTTTCCACCAGGGCTTGTTCGGTTGCTGATGAGTCCTTTTCCATCAGGGCTTGTTCCGTTGCTGATGGGTTCTGATTTTGAGTATACTCGGCCTTCTTAGGCTGTTTTTTTCCCTTCATTTTAGATGAACCGCCTTTCTAATTAGTTTTCTGAGTCGACGTCCGACTTACTGATTCCCAGTGCTGGGATCCGAGCCACCCACTGTGGCAGCCTAAATAGCAGCGATAAGACTGATGGTGCTCTTCTGCCCGGGAATCTCTGGTCTGGCTTCCCTCTTGAGTCCACAACAAGCGGCTCTGACTTCCCGGAGCTCCAAACTCTGGTCAGTAGGGGAAGCGGTCCCGTTGGCTCTGCGTGAAGAGCTGCTGCGCCGAGACGCCGGCAAAACCGCTGCGGCGGCCACAAGAGTCGCGCTGGTGACCCGTGGGGCTCCTCCACTGGGAGTCGGCTAATCGGTGAGTGATGAAAATTCGTCTAATGATGTGGCGTCGTCTCGTTCTCTGAGCTTTCACTAGGAGCTACAATCCTGAGCTGTTAGTGGTCGGCCATCTTGGATAGATCTCTGAAGTTTTATATTTTTAGTAGAGAGGGGGTTTCACCATGTTTGCTAGGCTGGTCTCAAACTTCTGACCTCAGGTGATCTGCCTACCTCAGCTTACCAATGTGATAGGATGACAGGCATGAGCCATCATGCCCAAGTCACAAGGGATTTTAGAGCTTCGAGATGTAGCAGAAGTGAAAGGTGAGGCTAATAAAAGAGAGTAAGAGAAGAACTGGTCTAGCATGGAGACAGTGACACAGAGACAATAAGGCTCAGCTTTTATTTTATTTTAATTGAGACAGGATCATTCTCTGTTCCCTAAGCTAGAGTCCAGTGACACAATGACCACTCACTGCAGCCTCACCTTACAGGCTCAATTGATCCTCTTATCTGAGCCTCCCTAGAAGCTTGGACTGCAGGTGTGGGCCACTATGACTGGCTAACTTTTGTATTTTTTTCATAGAATGAAGTGTGGTCATATTGTCCAGACTGTCAGCCTTTTCAATAATGTTTTTTCCTGGAGAACATCTAAAGCATGTAATGTAGCAGCAAAATCACTACAACAAACACTGTAACCACTTAAAATTGATATCCCAATTCCTATACTTTGCAATATTGTGTGGCAAACCCAGGATCACGTATACTCTTATGGGTAAATGCTGCACTATGAATGACTGAAATACAGTCTCTCAAATATTCAGCTCGTAATATCATTAGAAATAACAGCTAGTGAATACTTATCTTACTTAGTGATAACTTAGTAATACTTAGTGAATACTTAGAAATCACAGCTAGTGGAAACTTACTCTATCCCAATGGACTTTATTGTTAGAAGGGTTTATGTAGAAATAAAGAAAATTATTAGGTAGATATCTGCATTGATATAAATGTTCTTTATTGATTTAATAGATCTTATTCTTTTTTCCCTTTTGTAGTTGATGACAACTGCCTTCTTGTTGTGTTGAAAGTCACACTCTGGAGTATTTCACGCGGTCATTATTTTCCATTGCCTCTTGTAACTGTGGCTTTTTCTGAGAAAGACCACGAAAGAGCCCAGCTTGAATTTCAGTAAAGGAGGATCTGGTGCCAAGGGATCAGCCGGTGCCCTGGGCCCGCCCTCCCACTGGAGCTGCTTCTAGAGCCAAAGGCAAAAAAAACAGACACAGGCCTGTGAAGTGCTTGCAGGAGAGAGAACACAGAGGAGGCACCGGCTTCTCACCTTCCCTCCTTCCCGGAGGATCACACCTTCTGAAGGGAGTCTCCCCACGCAGATCCCTCCCTGCACCATGGCCGTCACAGCATCCCTGGCTGAGCTCCAAGCAGAGGCCAGCTGCCCCATCTGCCTGGGTTACCTGAAGGACCCAGTCACCACTCACTGTGGGCACAACTTCTGTCGCTCCTGCATCCACCAGTGCTGGGAAGACCTACAGGACATCTTCCCCTGTCCCGTCTGCCTCCACCACTGCCCTGAAGAGAACCTCAGGAGCAACACCCAATTTCGCCACATGACTGATGTGGTTCAGCAGCTTCCCGCCATGAGGAGGAAGAGGAAAGTGCAGGAGGAGGAGGAGCCCCTGTGTGGGAAGCACTGTCTGCGTCTGGCCCTGTTCTGTGAGAAGGACCTGGAGCTGTTGTGTCCCCAGTGCAGGGTCTCCTCTGACCACCAGCATCACCCCCTGCTGCCCATTGAGCAAGCTGCAGCCAGAAACAGGAGAAAGCTCAAAAGCTACATTCAGCCACTAAAGGAGAAAATTGAAGATGCCAAGATGCGACGTGAAGCGACAATGTTGAAATCTGTCAATGAGAAAAGGAAGATGGAAACATGGAGGAAGGAATTACAGTCTGAATTTGAAGAAATTAAGATATCCTTGGTAAAGGAACAAGCTGCAATTTGTGCCTCTTTACTTGTTGAAGAGCACGACGCTGAAGAAAAACTCGCTGAAAACCAAAGACAAATTTCAGAGCATTTACTTGTACTCCAAAACCTGCTAAATGCAGTAACAGAGAAGGGATTTCAGGGAGACCTGGATGTGCTGACAGGTACTGAGAACATCTACAACACATATGAAAACCTGAAAGCCCCTGCCGTCTTCTCACATGAATTCAGGAAGAAGAGTTTGGGGCTCCCTCCACATTATTTTGGCCTCCACAGAATGATGAGCACATTTCAGGAAGATTTGACGCTAGACCCGGAAACAGCCCACCCTAGTCTTATTATCTCAGGAGACAGAAAAAGCGTGATATTTTGTAGGATGAATCCAGGCTTTACTGATAATCCTCAGTCGTTTTGCTTTTACCCAGCAGTCCGGAGCCGTGAGGGCTTTGATGCTGGGAGACATTTTTGGCACGTAGAAGTGAGAGGCACAGGTGCGTGGTCCCTTGGTGTTTGTAAAGAAACATTTCCCAGAGATGGCCTGAGATCGCCAACCCCACAGATGGGGTGCTGGGAAATTCAGCCATTCTGTAGTTCATGCAGTACAAGGAATACAGAAGTCCAGCAAATGGGCATTTTTCTGGACTATGAGTTGGGAGAGGTTTCATTTTATAATTTAAAAACCAGATCACATGTGTACACTTTCACTGATAAGTTTACAGAAAAGCTTGTGCCTTATTTCTCTGTTGACCCTTCTTCCCAAGCTGTCACAATCAATATTGTCATAGACCAGTGATGGGCTCCTTAGAGAGCCCTTTGCATGTGGCTATCTTTTCTTTTTGTGTTGTTGGAGGACATTTGTAATAAAGTCTGTTATTCCATGTTTATGTTTGATGTGCCAAACATGGGCTCATTGGTTGATCACTTGTGTGAAGCAGGAACAGTCACTATGTGGAGATTTAGCATTACTTGAAACTTACAATCACTTATATGTTAATCCATTTTGTTGTGATTTGAGAGAATATCTGAGATTTGGTAACTTATAAAGATGAGAAATCAATTTCTCACAGTTTGGAAGTTCAAGGTAAAGGCAGTGACAGGTTTGGTGTCTGGCAAGTGCCTGATCCCTGCTTCCAAGTTGGTGCCTTCAATGCTGCAGTCTCTGGAGGGAAAAACAGAGTTTCTCACATGGCTGAAGAGCAGAGGCACAGAGCTTAGTGCATTGGCTCATACTTGTAATGCCCGCACTTTGGGAGGCCTAGGCAGGCAATACACTTGAGGCCAGTAGCTCAAGACCAACTTGGTGGCATGTGGTTGGAGTCCCAGTTGCTTTGGAAACTGAAGTGAAAGTATCACTTGAGCCCCAGAAGCAGAAATGAGAATGAGTCAAGATTGTGTCATTGCACTCCCACCTGGGCGACAAGAAGGAATCTGTCTCAAGGAAAAGAAATAGAAAGCAGAGTGGGGACATATACTCTCAAAAGTTCTTTTTTAGCCTGGCATGAATCCTTTAATGGTGGGAAGGCTTGCCACCTAAAGACCTCCCATTAGGTTTCACCTCTCAGCACTGCTGCATGGGTGATTGTTTATAACACATGAGGTTTGTGGAGATAAACTTTAAAAAATGGCATTTGAGACTCATGCTGATAAGAGCACATAGCTAATTAAAACCCTAGAAATAAGGCTGGGCACGGTGGCTCAAGCCTATAATCCTAGCACTTTTGGAGGCCGAGGCGAATGGATAGCAAGGTCAACAGATCGAGACCATTTTGGTCAACATGGTGAAACTCTGTCTCTACTAAAAATACAAAAATTAGCCCGGCATGGTGGTGTGTGCCTGTAATCCCAGTTACTCGGGAGGCTGAGGCAGGAGAATTACTTGAACCCAGGGGGCAGAGGTTGCGGTGAGCCGAGGTCAGGCCTCTGCACTCCAGCCTGGGTAACAAGAGTGAGACTTCATCTCAAAAAAAAAACAAAACCCTAGAAACATCTTTACTGCTCTTGTTGCTGTCTATGCCTGTGTTATAGCAAATATTCTGATATTCAGGATTATGGGGAGAAGATGGCTGGGAACAGTGTCTCCTACCTGTGATGATCACTTGAGCCCGAGCCTTTGAGACCAACCTGGGCAACATAGTGTGACCTTGTCTCAAAAAACAAAAAGCAAACAAACAAAAACCATAAAAACATAAAAAGGAAAACAAAGAAAAGAAGAAAAAGAATTATGGGGAGAAGCCAGTAACCCCTGTGGCTCGCTGAAGTGGTCAATTTCAATGAAGCCTACAATCAGGGTTCTGAAAGTCTGTAACCCTCCAGTGCCCATAGAATTGTGATGTTACTGAGTTACAGTTGTCTGGAATAAACAACTTCAAAATATAATCACCTTAAAAGGAACACCCCCTTCAAGGTAGTAAGTGTCTACAAACAAACAAACAAAAAAAAGATATGAAATAAAGGACTCCTGCTGAGCAGTCTAGATAATGAAAAAAAATGAACATAAAAAGTCAGGGAGATGAGAAAAAAGAGAAACAAAAGTAAAACTAAATTATGGATTCAAGGAGAAGACCAAAAAAAAAAAAAAAAAAAAAAACCAAAAAAAAAAACAAATTGAAACAGAAGTTCCTAATTTGCAACTTCCAGTTAAAAATACAAAATTTACCAGAAGAGTCTACACAAAAGATTAAAAGGTAATGGTTGAATTTTCTTTCTCTGTAACTTGGATGATAACTGAATGTGAGCATCTGTTAAAATACATAAATTCAAAAACTTTTTTGCCTTTAATTAGGTAACCAAGGATCCCTCTGATTTTAAATGATGAATCCGGCCAGGTACGGTGACTCTCAGCACTTCAAGAGGCTGAGGCTAGTGAATCACCTGAGGTCAGGAGTTTGAGACCAACCTGACCAACATGGAGAAACCCCATCTCTACTAAAAATACAAAATTATCCTGGCCTGATGGCATATGCCTGTAGCCCCAGCTACTTGGGAGGCCGAGGAAGGAGAACCCCTTGAGCACAGGAGGCAGAGGTTTGGTGAGCTGAGATCATACCATTGCACTCCAGCCTGAACCACAAGAGAGAAACTCCATTTCAAAAATAAATAAATAAATAAAAATAAAAACAAATAATGAATCCTTTATTACCTTAATGATGTTACTAAACATAAAATGGAGGTAAAAGAGGTATCCTTTGTCTTAACCATGAGAATCACTGGTTTCTTTAAATTTTCCGAGATGAGAGCACACACTGGAATGATATATAAAGAGAGAATATAGAGATACAATAAGTAATATGCCATTAAATAAAGTCTTTTGCCTTTTTCAATAGCTTTACAAACGGGATTCAATGAATGTTCCTGACCCAAGTGAAAAAAGATAATATGACTAAATATTAGTTAAAATATAATACTCAAGTGTTGAAACCCATGATGCAAGACCTAGGAGTGATTATCCCACTGTTTCTGGGTTCAACCCCAATTTTCTGTGCTTTTCCACTTTGAAAGAAGTAGGACATCTCAGAGTGAATCGATGCCAGTTTTAACGGTGTGATCTCTCCCAATGTTACTGACATGGCTTACTCCATCCAATCAGCAAATGGTAAATATCAGGCTACTCCAGATTTGGCTAGGTTTTTTTCAGGCTTGTTTCAACAGTTTCCTGGCCATACTTTCCCTTTACTTCAGAGGAATTTTATGCACCTCAACCCACCAGTCGTGGGCACCTCAGCAGTCTTGCCTTTGCACACAAACTTTGCAGGGAAGATCTCAACTTCATTCAATGTCTTCCAGAACTGTAGGTGTGATTTACACTGATGACATTCTCCTCCATGGTAATTCATTTGAAACACTCATTCAGGCAGGCCATGAAAATACTCACAAAGTAGTTTATACAAAGGGAATGTGTCATTATCCCCACACAGTGCAAGCCCCTTATTGGATTAAATGCCTGAAAACTATTTTGTAAATAAAAGCAACTCCCTCTCTGACACTGTGGAGAAACAGCTATTAAACCTCTCAATGCCCACAATGTGAAAACAAGCCAAAATCTTTAACCCTTTTTGGATTTTGGAGGAAACATATTCATCATTTATAAATTTTGCTTAAGGTTACTTAGGTTGTTAGTTCCAAATCCACCCATCTTCAATGGTGCCCCCTCCACAAAAGGCTTACAGAATAAATTGTGTGGTACATTAGCCTCTCACAAGCACTGAGCCTGTAACTGTTCATATTCAGTTTCTCAGCATGTCTTAAATTCTAGAAGCAGCACCCCACTAGCTCAGCACAGGTTTAGGAAGAACCCTTGTTACATCATGGAGCCAGATGCTGGCCCTCTGCCATATTTCTTTTGCAGGAAGGGGTAACTTGCCTACATTGTTCTTAGTCTCTGCTTTACACCATGGGTTTAGGAGATCACCCCACTCTCAGGTTCCTCAGCTATGGAGAGAACCTCCTTCCTACCCCCCCACCAGGATCAAATGAGAAACAGCAGTGGAAGTTTATACACTATAAGGATGACAATGTGATATAGCTGGCCTAGAATTAGAACCAGTACAATGCCATTTTAAAATGGGAAAACTGTTTCCATTCTCCTCACAATGACTACTAGCCATGGCTTCTGTAAACTACTAAGATTACCTTGCAAAATGCAAAGAGAGGACAAGCTGCATACTTTCTCTTATCTGTAACTGCCAGAATTGCTGGCCTTTGTTTACCAAAGTAAGCACCCCCAGATAATTCCATCCTGGTGCCAAGTAACCTAAAATTATGTGGACCCCACACCTGCCCAAATAATGTATAAACTAATGTTTACCTTGACCTCTGTAAACCACTTAAGTGGCAATCGGAATGACAAAAGTCCCCTGGCCCTTGGAATATCTGGAGCCCCTCACCCTCCTCTCAGCCTAGGAGGTGATTGACAGCTTTCATTCCCATCTCGGTTCCTCGCCCCCACTCCCAAGGTGGTTTTGTGGGTATAAAAAGGTCTTGTCACTCTTCTTTCTTGGCCACGGGTTGGAGAGACGTGAGTCCTCCGTGGTCGCCGGCAATAAACCCTGCAATTGGCATTCTTTTGTTCTGGTGTTGACTTTCTGTGCTGAGTTCAATGCAACAACATAACCATTGCCATGTGTAATGAGCTCGGTAGGGATATACTACTTTTTCTTGATTAATCAGGACATTCTCTTTTTTTGAACGTGAAATAGATATTTCTTTTTTTTTATTGCATTTTAGGTTTTGGGGTACATGTGAAGAACATGCAAGATTGTTGCATAGGTACACACATGGCAGTGTGATTTGCTGCCTTCCTCCCCTTCACCTATATCTGGCATTTCTCCCCATGCTATCTCTCCCCAACTCCCCACCCTCTACTGTCCCTCAGAGACAGCCCCCAGTGTGTAGTGCTTCCCTCCCTGTGTCCATGTGTTCTCATTGTTCAACACCCACCTATGAGTGAGAACATGTGGTATGGGGAGTCCCCCCATGTAAATGCTTGCAAAGCGAGTTTTACAATACGGGCGGTTTGAGCCCAGACACAGGGTCGCCTGAAGGAGGGGAGTCGAGATAAAAGAATCAGGAACAGACAAAGGGAATCTATTTAAAAGATTGTCAGATGTTTGAAACCAAAAGCTCTTGCAGTCCCGAGGAACAATGTCTCCATGTAAATGTTTTTTATGAGCACCAGGAATGACTATCACCTTTTACAACCACTGATTGTGTATCTGCCATCTTTATTGTATACAGTAGGTCATCTAGTGATTTGCATTTCCTCTTGCAGTGGCGTAAACCAGAGCCTGGAAAAATGTATATATACTGAGCCTTTGAAAAATAAATTTGATGTGGAATAAGGACTTCACATTTCTCCTGACTCCGCTTTACTATCTCCTTTTATTTCCCATTCACTCCCCCACTCAGGTTTGAAACCCTCCTGCTGGCCAAGAGTGACCGCCAGACGTGGCGACCTGAACAAGGGACCTGAGAATCAGGGATTTCAGTGATGCTTTAAGTGAGTGGTGCCAGCTGTAAGTAACAAAGAAATTAAAAAGAGAAT